CCCCAAAACCCCAAAACCCCAAAACCCCAAAACCCCAAAACCCCAAAACCCCAAGCTATAAAAGAATGTTGAAAACAAAAATTTATTAACAAAAGACCACCTAAAGGAGGGAGTATGCTACACCACATATTTCAAATTCCTACCAATTCCTTTAACCCTTTTGTCATTTAGAGACCCATAATGAACAATAAGTCACAAAGAATGAAGACCAGAAGCGTATCCCAGAAGGAAAAAGACAAGGAATACACATGCCAATACTGAAGTAAGCACATTTGGAGGGAACCTCAAACCAATCTAGGGAAACGATTCAAGATCAAGAGACGTAAAGATGAGCATGAGAAGAGCAGACATCCAGACCGTTTCCCTTTCAAATGCTTTTCAAAGACCTGTAGTATGATATTTAGGAGAAAAAGTAATTATGTCCAGCATCTTAACTATAAACACCCAGAGGTAGACAAAGCTAAGCTCTTTGGGAAGAAGGGCTCTGATTCTTCACAATTTCAATCAAAGAACAAATCTTCGTTGTCCATTGTCTCAATGAGTGATAGAAGCTTATCACAATTAGTCTCATCAGGTATAAAATCAGAGTCGTCATCTCATCAGTCTGTCCTGAAATCTTTAAAATCTCTTCGCTCAAGTAAAATTCCGAGCCCGGTTACTTCTTCATTGAAATCTTCTGAAGGAAAGAAATCTCCGAGCAGAGACTCCAAGATTCATAGAGAAGAGAATGAGTTTTTCTTCTCTCCTGAAGAGAAGGAGCTCAAGGAAATTCTGAACAAGTCTATCCAAAAACTCAAGAATAGAGATAAGAGTCCTGAAACCCCACCTTTTAAGAGAGTACAGACTCCCAAGAAAAAGCAGTTGAAGAAATACAAAGAAATCTCCACTGAGCATAAAGAATTAGCCAGCGAAGTGCTTTCTTACTCAAGTGTAAGAGATTCGCCTTTAAGTCTCACCTTATTCTCTAGGTAAATGCATCTGAAAGCTCTGAAGAACAAATTAAGGAATCTAGTGAACTTCTCTCAAAGATAAAAAGCGAAGTAGACATCCGTAAGAACTTGATGCAAAAGTATAAAATGGTTCAAACCGATGATACTAAATAAGTCTCAACAGAGTTCTAAGAAGAGGAGTAAAAATATGACTGAAAAGATTAAAGACAAGAGAACCAAAGTTACTCGATCGATCCTTGACTTCTTCACTAAGCCTCCCACTTCTAATTCAATGGTAGGAGAAAGCCAGATAGGCAATGAAAGGGATGATAAGGATAGGGATTCAACAGAGATAGGTAAAGACAAATGTGAGTATTTCGAAACTAATAACTCTATGCTCGGCTTCTAGATTTGAACTCTTGTTGAAAATAACCTCTCTATAGGCAATCAAGCGAGAAATTTTCAGAAGAATGCTTCTACACAACAATCAGAAAGCACACGCTGAAGCCTAAGTCAAAAAGAACCCGGAGGCAGGTCAAATCCACTCGCCAGGCATCTACCTCCTCCACAATCCCCAAATGTATCTTCCCTTAGCTTAATTTGTCTATAGCTTACAGAAGAAAATGCCCGAAGGAAAATGCCAAGTCCGGCTGACCTCCCTCAAATTTTGAAGCCCTCACCTATTAATTTCTCTGAGAATAGCGAGCAGAAGAGCATGTCGCAGGAGTCGATTCATCTGAATGTGCAGAAGTCACAGGGTCAAGCAGTCCCTCTCTGGCTAGTAAAATACCACTTCCAGATGCTCCTAAACAGCCACAACCTAATCAATGACTAAAGTCCTTCCTGGTTCTCTTCATTCCCCGCCTTTCCTAGTCGTTCAATATTTTGTCTAGGAAAAGGGGTTTTGGGGTTTTGGGGTTTTGGGGTTTTGGGG